ATTTTTTTTATATACATTATAAAATAAAAAAAATGCATATATATATATATATATATATATATATATATATAAACTTTTATTTTAATAAATTCTATTTGATTTTTGAATTAACATTCTTCTGTCAGGAATGTATATTTTATATTATCTATATTTCCATTTATCTTAACTTTGATATATCTGTATTAAATATTAAGTGAATCTTGTTATGGTTTGAAGGGTTACTTCACCCAAAAATGAAAAGTTTTCACCATTTTCATCATTTTTTCTTTCACCTTCATGTCGTTCCAAACCTGTATGGCTTTCTTTCTTTCTTCTTGGTGATATTTTGCATGGTGGGAAACCAAATCACATTGTAGCCCGTTGATTTCCATTGTAATTTATATGATGTTAATATGATAGTTTATTTGATGGTAAACTATCCATTAAGGGTTAGTGAGTGATAATGTAATATGTGGGAAAAAATCCGAAATGCATCACAGTAACAAAGCATATGCACCACTTGCTCCAAGTGCCTCATTTTGATCACTAGCCTATATCTATTTAATAATGTAAAACCTATTTTTTTTAAACGTTCTGCTTGAAGAGTGTGCTTGTGGTATGTGGCTTTCAAATAAATGCCATTGGTTTTAACATGTGGCTATGTAATATAATGGTGGGATAAGTGTCCAAATATTTTGGCCACAACGATAGATAGATAGATAGATAGATAGATAGATAGATAGATAGATAGATGTCACCTGTTTGAGCGTCTGCTGTTATGCTGCACGTCCAAGTCTGTGGGTCTGTCTCCATATGAGAGCAGAGGAGGAGGAGGAGGACAGGTGAAAGCAGCTGGCAGTGAGGAGCTGCTTGTTCGCAGGCCGTTAGGGGGAGTGTTGAGACGCGTGGAGACCGAGACTGGCACAGCGTCTGTGTGAAGGGGGAGAGGCTGGGAAACGACGGGAGCACAAGCGAGGCAGAGCTTCACCTTCTGTGGCCCTCTGTCCCCTCGTCCTCGATGCCCGCAAAAAACACATCGCCCTACCGATAACAAGGACACGGAGCTACCGGAGGACCGCGCGCGCTCGAGACGCCACCGCTGTAGCGCCCGAACCGGAGAGATATCCACGGTGAGTCAGATCTTTTTCTAGGGTGATCAGTCATGTTTTATGTAGGGCTGCTTACTAGTGTGGTTTCTGATGGACAGACGTTATACAAGCTTTTGCCTTGTACAGGGGACGTTTGGAAGAGTCGGATGCGTGCGTGTACACGGCTTTAATGCAGCATTAGCTCTGAGTTTTGACATGGTGAATAAGCAACGGCCAAATGCAACACCCCTCTCTCCATTCACACCAGCGATATATTCAAGATTAAACGTCCCAATGCAATGCCTGTCTTAGCTCACACTGCTGATGTTGCCCTAAAGGTCGAACGGTCCCTCTAAAAAATGTGAAATAATGTGCAAAGCTGCCGGTCTACATAGATGTCATGCGTGAGGCTTGAGGCATAAGGCTTTATGTTCATCTGATGTTTGAGTTGGGCGTGTTTGCCTCTGTAAAACAAGGCGACGAAGACTGATGCGTTGGAATGTTTCGCACGTTATGATGCCTATAACATGTCCACCGCAGATATGGACCGAGTGGACGTGTGCACGGCCTGTAGTGCGCTATAATTCTGCTCTATGGGTGAAGGACGGGGCTGTATAGCCCACACTTGGCGGTCGGGTGTGACATGCTGTGTTTCACAAGTATCCGCGCACTGTTACTGTAACAGCCTCGACACGGTCACTGCTGCGAATATGGCACACACACACACACACACACACACACACACACACACTGAACACACACTCAGTGTTATGTAACGAAATATCTCCAAACGGCCCATGGGAGAAATGCTGCATAGTTCTTCTGGCAACTTGAGCCATCGATGAAGCGCTGAAATTATGCAGCTTGCATATGTTATGGCGATCGTTGATGTTTATATGCACACGCGTCGATGCTGTCTTGCGTAAATAGGCGTTTTATTTTGTTTTTAAATGGAAGCACAATGTGACTGATGCAGCTGTCTTCCATGAGAGGAAACGGGGATTTAGATTAATAACACATAGTGCTGAGACTGATGCGACACTGCGATCTCTGTATTTGCATTATGTAACATCAGTGCGCGGATGTTGAAATGTCGTGCAAATGTCCCGGACGGAATACAACACGATACCAACGCCAGCGAGGATGCACGTTACAGCTACAACCACATATTTGTGCAGTGCCATTCTTCAGTATGGCCTCAGAATAGATTCTGAATATGACTCAGATTAGATTGGTTATAAGAGTTAATATGTGTTGTACTGAGCATTAGTGCGTTCTGTCGTCAAAATGAGCGATGTTCGGTTTTGATTTGGAGCTTATCAATGAATCGGTTCTCAGAACCGAGTGATTCGTTCATAAATCGAACTGAATCGTTCCAAAGCGGTTCTCGAGTGAACTGGCTGAATTAGACATAGCATACTAGCACTACTCTTACTATTTCTATCATACTTTATATCGTATTTCTATTGAGTCGAGAACCAGTGGGGGTAAAATGTACGTTACGTTATTGGACGCTTTTCATATGTCTGGTTTTCTCAGAAGTGGAAGTCGTGGGTTACCTTAGTAGTATAGCTAAATGGAAACTACAACACATATAAGCATTTTTTTCTTGCGTTCCCATTTGCTCCAATAGCAAAAGAAAAGTAGCAATATCGACAGATTGTTTGTACTGATCAGAAGAGAGAAAGATGTCAACTTTGCTGTCATTCCCTCAGCTGTTAGAAACACCAGTTTGGTAAATGTACATACGAGTTTAGAAAATGCTAGATTTACAATGTTATTAACAGTGGAAACGCATTGAAAAATGTACATAGCCATAATAGGCATAAATGCTACTGGAAATAGGTTTATGACTTGGCTGACAGTTTTATCAACAAGCATATTAAAATATGCTTTTATCATAATGTAAAGAACCACTGAATCCTTTTTTGAGTCTGATAGAAATGAACTGTTCAGACTTCCCATCAGTCAAAATGCCCAATACATGTGAATATGTGCCAGTGAAGGGATGAAGACAGAAACTAACAAATTCCTGTTTCTCCATTAGTACTGTTCAACATCACCAGCTGGTCCAGATATGTGAGATTTGCTGCTAGGAATGAGTGATTGACAGCTGGTGGATCCGTTTAAGATGATCACTTCTTACCTCTGATAATCTGTCATTGTCTGATTAGGCAGGATATACCGGGACTGTTGCTTTCAGATTAAAAAAACAATTATCATTGATAGAAAGTGGCATATCCTGCAATATGTCTTGTCCTCTAAATTTAATATGCAATACTAAAAAATGTGAGTCCAAAGTCTTTGAACAATTAGGCAGCGTGGATTAATGCGAAGTCATAAATTAATGTTAAGCAGTCAGTTATACAGCGTTGCTTTGGACAACTGTCATTACTTGGAAATATTTGTCCAATGCAAATGAAGTGTTCCAGAGAGCAGTGTAATAATATCTGCTTATGCAGTGATACTTTTTATATGCAGCGTTGGAGTCAATAAACCTTTATTTGCATGATTATTAAGATTTACAATATTGAGAAAGCATATAAAGTACTTAGAGTACATAAAATACACAAAACAATCAATAAGGTTAAAAAATGAAGGGGAATTAAAAGAAAGGGACCTTTCTGTGCTATGAAAATGTAGTGCTTATTGTGATTTTTGTTTGTGTTTTACAAGTATTAAAAATGATAATGGTGAAATAGAGACATACAATTTGAAAATAATATATTTAGATTATTACAAAGTAGGGCTGGGTGATATGGCCAAAAAAATTATCACGATAATTTTTTTCATATCAGTCGATATCAATAATTATCACGATAAATGTAAAATCTTTATTTCTTTCAAGTTTAAAGCCAGATTTTTGCTCCAAAGTGAAAGTTGTAGAAACCAGAACATTAATTTTCCATAACAAAATAAATATCTAAATAGAAAAATGTATTTCTTAGTTTCTGCATGTTCTAATGAGTGATATTGTTTCAAATCAAGAAACAGATTTGGGTTGCCTGATAATATTAATAATGCACATTTGATAGTAGCTTGAGTTAGGATGCAGAGGTAAATATTTGTTCATCATCAAAATCAGTAACATCTGTAAAAATTGTAGCAACCTCAGTTTTATATGGTTGAATTTATTCTGACCAAGTTTTTATTTATTTTTTTATTTTTTAAATTAAGCATTGGTCTCCCATAGTAACATACATTTAAATCATGATAAACAGTTAAAACCACACATATAGCACCTCAATACCATGGTAAAAAAATAACTATGGTTTTTAGGTACTAGCCTATTTGTATGAAAAACAGTAGTCTAAAAACATTCAGTATAAATGCACACATGCTATAGCTTAATCACAAATACATGCTACAAGTATATACCATTATTCTTTTAATAAAATTCAGTGTGAATATCCTAAATTTCTGCCACAATACCATGGTGCAGTGAGTGTTACTACAGTAAATCCATGGTAAGTGATGGCGATTTGTAGATTGAAAAGTGTGCTTCACACTGGATCTCACAGCGCTGCTTAATGCTCGCGTGACCGAGTAAACACATCTGCTCTATTGTAGTGAGCTCACACCAGTGGCAGTTTGAACTTTGAGCTGAGCGGATAAACGGTCCGTGTGGCACGATTCAAATGAAGCGCGAGCTGTTTCGTTCCGCTTTTGGCGCATAAACATTATATCGAACATTTATGGAACTCTTCATATCGTTTTATCGAGGAAAATTATATCACGATAATTATCGTTATCGAATTATCGCCCAGCCCTATTACAATGTACTATTTAAAGGCATTTATCTTACTTATACTCATTCCTGCAAATGTCTTCATTTTGAATTGATTCAGAGTTTGTCATTTGATCTCGCTGATGTCTTGACTCTCTTTCTCATCCATCTCCTGTTGAATCTTTAGCAGAATCTCTAGTCCTTCCAGCCTTGTGACTCACTGCCATGCTAGAATAACATTTAGAGCTCAGAATATCTGAAAATGGCAAAGATTAAATGTGAAACTTACATCTAATGTTACTGTTTCTGAACCTTCTTAACTTGTTTACTTTGGCATATTGGTATTAATCATTGCTGGTAAGGAAGTAATACATACATTGATTTAATAGCTGTCTCTAGTTCAGGGATCCTCAAATCTGGCCCACGAGATCCACTTTCCTGCAGAGCATGCTAATCAATGTCTTCAGGATCATTAGAAAATCACAGGTAGGGGAGTTTGATCAGGGTTGGAGCTAAACTCTGCAGTGCATTGGCCCTCCAGGGCAAGATTTGAGGAACACTGCTCTAGTTGATCAGAAATACAGTGACAGTTTAGGGAAATTAACCCGGTGCGTTCCATATTTGTTGTAAAAAAAAAAACCTGACCTTCTTTTCTCTGTAAATTAAGGGTACACACTATTGCTGAAAAACACAATCACTGCTTAGCAGTCGGATGTCCGTATGCACAAAGGCACAGACCTCTAAACAAGGCCATATCTGCAGATGAAACTTTTTTTTGTAAAGCATTTTTTAAATTTAAACTAGCACCTCATGACTACATCACGTTATGTTTGAGAAGCTGCAAAAGACACAGGCGCAAGTGGAATGTACAAAACATGGTGACATTAATTTTTAAGTAAATATAATGGGCGATATATTGCGTCACCAAAAATTATTGAGGTCATGTACATATATTGCGCGATAAGTCTATATATTGATTATTACGACAGGCCTAGTTGTAGAGACGTTTTTATTGCTTCGTTTATGTGCCGTGTAATTTCAGCCTGTTAAATAGTTTACATGTCAGAGGAAGGGAATTTTAGACTATGTGAAAGCATGTAGAAAGTATGAGTTTTAAATCATTCAATTCATTAGATGGATCGATTCTATTCATGGATTTTATTCATCTTACATTGTTTCTATTGATGGTTTATCGTCAACAGATCCAGACGTTATGAAGATACAGTTGAACAAAGTATCAGATCTTCAGATCCACCAGGCCAGTCTTCAGTAACTAAACAAAACTGGACTCCGTGATCACCATCACTCACTTATCAGAACTCTACATTTTTGCTTTCGCTCATCCACCGCTCTAAATGAGTGTCTTGGACAGCAAGATCAGGGCTGGGGCGCACACCAGAACCCACACAGGTAAAGAGTTCCACAAAATATGCATCATTTCATCCATACATTCTGCTATGTGCATGAATCAATGATGTCATCTGTTAATTTTTTATTAAAAAATACATTAAAATAGCAGTTCATACACTGGGGTAAGATTTTTTTTTAGTATTTTTGGAAGTCTCTTATGCTCATCAAAGCTGCATTTATCTGATTAAAAATACAGTAAAAACAGTATTATAGTGAAATATTTTACAATTTGAAATAGCTGTTTTCTATTTGAGTTTATTTTAAATGTATTCATGTGATGTTGAATTTTCAGCATCATTACTCCATTCTTCAGTGTCTAATATGCTGATTTGCTGCTCACAGTTGTGAAGTCAGTAGCAATATTTTGGAATCTATAAGGAACTTAATAGGTAACCAGTGTAGAGATGATAAAATTGGGGTAATATGATCATATTTGTTTGACCTGGTAAGAACTCTAGCAGCTGCATTTTGGACTAACTGTAGCTTGTTTATTGAAAATGCAGGACAACCAGCTAGTAGTGCATTACAGTAATCTAGTCGAGAGGTCATGAATGCATGAACTAGCTTTTCTGCGTCGGAAACAGAAAACATGTTCCGTAGCTTAGCAATGTTTCTGAGGCGGAAGAAGGCTGTTTTTGTAACATATGAAATGTGATTTTCGAAAGATAAGTTGCTGTCTAATATAACACCCAGGTCTTTAACTGAAGATGATGACATAACAGTACATCCTTCAAGTTGCATTGTATTCTAAGAGATTCATGTTTTCTAATAATGTTGCCAAGCATTTATATTGAAAATAACATAGGGCCCAACACGGATCCTTGTGGCACCCCATAATCTACTGATGTTAACTCAGATTTTTCATAATTTAAGTAGACAAAATGGTAACGGTCTGCTAAGTACGATCTAAACCACTGTAATGCCTGTCCCTGAATACCAGTGTAATATTGTAGTCGGCCTAAGAGTATGTCATGGTCTATAGTGTCGAATGCAGCACTAAGATCAAGTAAAACTAGTATTGAGACACATCCTTGGTCAGAAGCTAGAAGTAGGTCATTTGTTATTTTAACGAGCGCAGTTTCTGTGCTATGATGAGGCCTGAATCCTGACTGAAATATTTCATAGATGTCATTTTAAACCAACCATATTAAACCAACATTAAACTAAATTTTTTTTGTCATTGACCCACGTAAACATGGTAGAGTGCCATCATACACTGTCATGACAACTCTGGGTTTCCTACAGAATGTCCTGGATCAACGGCTTCCTAGTAGCCAGAGTGGATGACCGTAAGACCGCGTGGGGCGAGCGCAATGGCAAGAAGTCCAAGCGCAAGGTTGGCTCCTCTCTCTGCAACCCACGCTACATGAGCTGCCTGCGGGACGTGGAAGCCATGGAGCCTCCTCCCCAGCCGCCCCACGCACAGGCCACCCGATCAGTAGGAGGAGGTACGGGTGGGGGCAATTTCGGCGTGCGCTGCGGATGGCAGGAAGACCACTACGGGAAAATGGGGGGGGAGGGGGTGGGGCTTAAATCTGTGGACCTGGGTTTCGAGGACGGCGAGGTCAAGGGGAGGAAAGGGGGCGGCTTGGGTTGCGACAGCTCCAGCGATGACACGGCCAGCGGCGCGGGGTCGGTGACGGCGGCAGACTGCTGGCAGCGGGTGGTTCGCGTGTTCCAATCCAAGAAGTTCCAGTCACGCAAACTGGAGCGTCTCTACCAGCGCTACTTCTTTAGGCTCAACCAGAGCTCGCTTACGATGCTGATGGGCGTCTTGGTGATCGTTTGTGGGGTCATGCTCACCTTCCACTGCATCCACGGACTTCCTGATGTGGTCTATGCCTCCGTGCTCTCTGTGGCCATGGCCCTGTTCTTGGCGCTAATGGTGGTGTGCAACCGAAACGGGTTCCACCAGGACTACATGTGGATGGTCAGCTACCTTGTGATTGGAGTGCTAATCGTGGTGCAGGTGTTCGGGGTGCTGATGGTGGCCCCCCGCAGCGCCTCCGAGGGGATCTGGTGGTCCGTGTTCTTCATCTACATCATCTACACGCTGCTGCCCGTGCGGATGAGGGCGGCAGTGCTCAGCGGAGGAGTGCTGTCCTCCATACACCTCCTCACTACGTGGAGGATCAATCAGGATGATGAGTTCCTCTGGAAACAGGTAGGTCACTTTATCCCAGCTAAACTTCAGATTTGACTTTTATCTGTTCCTTGATTATATTTGAGTATGATGACTAGTGTTGGGAATTGAGAATGGCTCCATTGAAAAAGTACTTCCTTTGAAAAGTTGTATCTTTAAATTCATCCCATTTAAAGCATCACTGCTAGAGTCATGAAAATGCAGATGCATGTCTTTGACTGTTGCATCATGTCTTGTACTGTTTTTGAGCATCCCATAAAAAATGTGCCTTTTCAAGTTAAAAATAGTCCAACTTTGAAAGAAGTGGGATCTGCTGATTTCTGTTCCATTCTGTTGCTCTCAAGAAGACGATTTATGTAAAAGCTAAGAAATGTGAATTGTTTAGGGCTTCCAGTTAAGGGGTCAATGACATCATCTTTTTAGTGATTTATTTATAAATGCATTAAAATGCATCACAATGACTTTCTGAAGTTTCTGAATTTAAATGAAAAATATCCTGATATCATAATGATTAAAATCATTAAAAGAAAAGAAAATTTAAAATAAAATCCTATTAAGTAATATATTATTATTTATATTATTAGTCTTATATTAATTTTTCAATTAATTATTTTTAAATTAAAGCCACTTGGTACAGGCAACATTCTGAATCTTGCAGATGAAAAACAAAACAGTAAATTATATCATAAAAAAGAACGCTTCAGACCCTCATGACTGTCCGTCAAGGTCAGTAAGTCCTCAAAATATTAGATAATGAATTTTTTTATGAAAAGGCTCAGGTTTTAAAATGTAATGTTGTGGATCTCCCCAGAAACGTAATATTTATGAATTAGTTCTCAATAGATATGTAAAGACACTTTTTAAGCTAGAATAGGCTAATACACATTTAAAATAAATATATAAAAAAAAAAATAGAAAATCTTTTCTTGACAATGGTTTAAAACACACATGTGTGTTCAAACTAGATTTAACTAGTTTTTCCTTTTCTTTATCATGGACAATCATACTTGTCATTGACCCCAAGACTGATTAGTTGACTATTAGTTTACTAGGTGCTAGTTGCTTTTAAAAATATCTAAATACGAAATATGTAGGGATATGCATATTCTTAAATAATTGCCATCCTAAATGATGTCTGTACTAATCCCCAGAGGAAAACAGTTGTGTTGTTAACTTGAAAGATTTTGAAGCACAGCAAATGTACGTAATGTGTATATATATATATATATATATATATATATATATATACACACACACATATATATATATATGTGTATATGTAAGTTTACACAGCACTTTCATTGTTTCAACAAAGATAACTTTGAAGCACAGCAAATGTACCTAATGTGTATATATATATATATATATATATATATATATATATACACACACACATATATATATATATGTGTATATGTAAGTTTACACAGCACTTTCATTGTTTCAACAAAGATAACTGTATTAGTTATTTTGGGTTTATTTGTTTAATGAGGTTTGACTACTTCCACCTGTCTAGACTTATGCTTCTGTTCTCATGTCTGTATCTACTGCCTTTGTCCTGGATGTGTTTAAGTGTAAAGACATGCTATACTGCAGAGCGTCAATTATGCAAACACTCAGAATTGAATTCCACCATGGTAATCAGTCACCTGATCGTATGTACACTTCCACCCACAGCGCTGACATTCGTGAGTTTGTTTGAGTTACTGTTAGTGTCTTTACTGCATTAGCATGATTGAGAGGCACCTCTAGCATGGAGGTTTTTCTTCCTTTGGAGTTGGTGGCACTATCTATTAGTCACAGTTGCCATTTGGCTTTGCATACTTTTGAATACCTTTTGTTTTTGTCTACTAATAATGATTTCTTGTCAATGTGGTGTGTTATTTTATCAGTTAATTGGTAACCTGTTGCTGAGATAGACATTCATTTAGTGAATGGATTCTGTCAAAGCTGAGATAGGGCATGGCAGCAGTCAGCGTGACTGGCCAGCATCATGTGAACGCACTCGCCTATAAATGGTTCTGCTTTCACGGTATTGACTCAACTTAGTTAACAATCTGTGGATGATCAGTGGCTGTAAAAGTCATTTTAGAAGAATGTAGAATAAACAAATAGGGTTTTTCAATATGTACAGAGTGAGACCACAAATGTGTTTCCCAAAGTATTGGAAGTTTAAGTAGATCATAGAGACCATTGGTGCCAATGGTTTGTAATATCTACTCGACTTTTGAAGCTTTTGGGAAATGCAGCCAAGGATTGCTGATGACTGATATAATGTGGATGACAGCAGATGAGATGTATATAAAATTGCTGAAATTAAACACTAATTTTCCACAATATGTAGTCAAAATTCACTAAGATATTTGAACATCGTCAATTGACAAGGCGTTCAGTAGATTTTGGAATTGATAGATTTTTGGAATCTGGCAAAAAGAAGACTCGTCTCTAGGTTTTTTTCTCATTGACTGACAGCTGTGTATATTGAATTGTTTTCCTGAGGTAATTGTAACATTATGTGACACACTGTTTACAGAGCTGTTTTATTGATGCCTTTTTGTGGTTGAAACAGTGAGTGTTTACTAGAGACATGATAGATTTCAATAAGTTGTACTGTTTCTATCATTGTTCATTCTTGTTTATTTTTGTGCTATAACTAGTAATAAATAGAAAGAGATGTTCAGTTCACTTGCCGCTTGAGCTGAGGTGCTACAGTGATCTGTCACACCACATTTAAAGGGATAGTTCACCCAAAAATTAAAATGTATATTTAAAAATGTCCTGGCTCTTCCAAGCTTTATAATGGCAGTAAATGGGTGTCGAGATTGTCGTACGCGCGATCACGAGAGAGTGATGTTCCGGTGGAGGACGTAGGCGTAACATAAGCTCCGGTGAGAAGTGACGAACACGGAAGCGCAGAGGAAAGCAAAACAAAACAGTGGTCATGAATTAGAAGTACAAAACGAGTATTTGTAAAGAAAAATGTCAGAGGATTTTGATATAAGCCAAGAGGAGACTGGTTTTCCTTTGCTGTAAACAAAACTTGGTTCTCGCGAGACTAGCATATTCTCACCGGAGCTTACGCTACGCCTGTCCTACGTCAGCCACTGGAACGACACTCTCTTGTGAACACGCGTACGACAGTCAGCGGAAGCTAGATATTATAGTTTATAAAGTTTTAAATATGGACATTTTTCTTACACAAACTCATCGCTTCACTTGAGAAGGCCTTTATTAACCCCTCGGAGCCATGTGGAGCACTTTTTATGATGGATGGATGCACTTTATTGGACTTCAAAATCTCGACACACATTCACTACCATTATAAAGTTTGGAGCGCCTGGACATTTTTTTATATAACTCCATTTGTATTCATCTAAAAGAAGAAAGTCATATTCACCTAGGACAGGGGTAGGCAAGTTCGGTCCTAGAGAGCCGCAGGTCCTGCAGAGTTCAGCTCCAACCCTGAAAAAAACCTCACCTGCCTATAGCCTTAGTAATCCTGAAGACATTGATTAGCTTGTTCAGGTGTGTTTGATTAGGGTTGGAGCTGAACTCTGCAGGACTGTGGCTCTCTAGGACCGAACTTGCCTACCCCTGACCTAGGATAACTTGAGGGCCCTCCAAAACCATTTTGCCTAAAAAATTTCAAATTTATTTTTTTGCCATTTCAACCAAAACTTATTGGTTGCCAATATTTCAGTGCATCACTACTGAAAATATTAGCATTTTACCACCCCAAAAAAAGACGTTTTAGGGTCTCCGCCCAAAAATGCTTTTTGCTTGTGAATCATTTTGCTAACATCTGGTTGGCTGAGATGTCTTTGGAGGGCAGGGTTTTACATGGAGGGTGTGTCATCTCATATAAGCAAAGTGGTGGAAATTAGCAAACTGGCTTACAGCAAAAAATTCTATAAATTTGGTATGAACAGGCCTTTGGTGCTCTTGTGTGTTATGTATTTGTTAGTATTAGCATGTATCATCTGTACGGCCTGTGTAGTGCTAGCATGTTGGATAGCGCTGTGACAGGCTTTGGCTGTGCTATCTGTGGCCGCAGTGTGTTGTTGTGAGTCAAGCCAAGGAATCGGGGGTAGGATGAAGGTCATACAGCGTGGTTGAATGAGCCGCCCCAGCAGAGGAGATCCTTTTCTCTCCTTGCACTCCTCCCATGAAAATATCAGCACATTGTTAAGCGCTGTCTCCCAGGCCTCTGTGCTCCTACACAAGGGACCCTTTGTACTTTTCTCCAGGGTGTGTATGTGTGTGTGTATTTGTGTGTGTGTGTGAGGAGTTTTGGGGGACAGGAGGAGGTCGGTGTGTATGAAGGGAGGGAGGGTGAGGTCTTGAACTGCGGGGTCACAGTATGACCATAGTGCATTGTGAAACTATTTATTTCTACTGTACAAAGTAGTGGGAGAGAATGGGAACAGGAGGTCATTTCATTATAAACAATCAGGAAGACAAAGCAGAACGCTTGGCCCCATTAATGCAGGAAGGAACGGGTTGCTTACGACACATTTCCATCTTTTAATTAAAGATTTAGCAGATCTCAGTGAGGAATCCTTGGCGCAATGGAACACTATGTAGTATACTAGCTGGATTATTTGCATTAGTCTTCAATGTTTGCAGTACGTCTGTGCCGTTTATCAGAAGCCTTAACATTTGATTAAGTTAACACATATTAAAATTACTCCCCTTCCTACTATGTATTTCTGGGCAAGTTGGTCTTGGATATTATTATCAAGACATTAAGCAGAGACCACAATTATTAAACTGCGGATCATGGAATGTAAAAAGAATAGTTTCTGACTCTTTCTAGAGTCATTTCTGTAAACAAGCTCTTTTGTTTTTCTGAGGTAAAGAGTCAAAATTATTTTCTGTGCTAATCACTACATCTTAATGTGTTTTACAACTTCTGTCTAGTTGACCATGTAATGTTTAGACTCCATGAGTACCAGAACACTTTTTCATATTTTTTATTCATTTTAACGGAGGACAAACATGAGAAATTTCAAGATAAACTT